CTTTTTTTTTTTTTTTTTTTTTTTTTTTTTTCTGAAAGAAAAATTGTTCTCAAAGCATCACTTGTATTTATCTTTTTATTTAATATTTCTTATAAAATTAACTTATGTAAAAAATTATAAAATAATCCATTTATCAAAAAGGGAATTTTATATGCATGTTTTTTTATATATAAAAGTAAATATTTACGTACTATAAAATATATATATCTACATATTTGTATAAATCTTGTATTTTATAAAAACAAAATTATGTTATATTTAATTATTTTCTGTTAAAAAAAAAAATAAAATAATAATAAGCATACTATTTTTTAATTTTATGAATTTAAAGATTATTAAAAATAAAAAAAGTAAGATTACCTTTTTGATAAAAAAATTAAAAAAAAAAAAATAATTCTAAAAATGGATTCAATTAAATAATTTACATTTTTCTTTTCTAAGAATATTATATAATGTAGAATAGTAGTTCTTATTTTATATTATATTTGAATATAATTTTTTTTTAAATCCATTAAAATGTAAATATATTTTTTTATTATGTTATTCTAATTTGATATGAATTTTAAAATTTTTTAAGAAGAACAGTTAATGTATCATAAAACATATACTAAAGAAAATATTTTACACAACAAAAAAATTATAGAAAAATAATATAAAAAATAAAATAAAAATAAAAAATTATATCAAAAATAATTTTTATATTATAACAGTAGATACATCAATACATAAACATATATAATACATCAAACACTTTTTAATTCCTTTAAAAATTTCGTTGGGATTTTTCTTTTTTTTTTTTTTTTTTTAGTTTTTTTTTAAAAAAAAAAAAAAAATATCTTATGAAAAAATTAAAAAAAAGAAAAAAATTGCTCAAAATTTTATTTAGTTCATTACATTTTTTTTTCTGTAATATTTTTAAAAAAAGATTTTATAAAGATATTTTATCAATCATTTCATTTTTTATATTTACCTCAATTTTTTTTTATATTATTCGATAAAAATAATTTAATAAGATTAAAAAGAAAATTTTAAAAATAGGATGTAAAAATTACTTTATGGCTTTACTTTTCAAATATAACAGAAATATTTCATATAAATGCCTAAATTTTTAAAGTTCATGATTTTTTTTTTTTACATAGTAACTTTTAATGTGAAGATAAAAAAATAGAATGCAAGATGCCATGTGATACTTATATAAATTAATTGAATAATAATAGAACGCTTCATACATTGAAATAAATTTGTATCAAACTTTTTTTATTTTTAAGAAAATATGTAGCATATTGTAATCATAAAATTTTATCAAAGTATTACAACATAATAAATATATATGAAATTAAATAAAATTTTAAAGTTATATGCAATTAAATATAATTTTACGTAATGAATTATTGAATTAAGTTTAAAACATATGGGTTAATAATTATGAAAATATATGACTTTTTGAACTTTTTAATAATGAAATTTAAATTTGAACTTATTCAAAAAGTTCTTAAAAATACTATATGCTCTTTTATATTTTAAGTCTTTTAAAAAAAAAAAAATTCTTTAATTGTTTATTTTTCACTTGAAATATTTATGTTTTTGTTATAGTATCTACTTATTATTTTCTTTAGTTAAAATGGACGAAAATGAAAAAAGTCAATCGATGAAATGCAAGGGAGATATACAATATGAAAAGGAAAAAGAAAATTTCGAAATAGTAAAAAGTTTAAATCCCTCCATTAAAGAGTTCCAAAATAATTTCAGATTATTAAGTGAAAATTACTCATTAAGGGATTTAGAAAAAGAATTGAACCCTGTTGAATATGCTGATTATAATTCATTTCTTGCTTATTCTATTTGTTCACTTTTTTATGCATATTTAAAAATATCCGGAGATCTTATAAATAATCACCCTATTAAAAATGAATTAAAAAGAGTACAAGCATTAATGAAGGAAATAAAAGAAAAGAATCATGAAATTAGTGAAGAAAGATCTCTTACAATTAATAAAGAAGCTTCGAAGAGAATTATTGATTCATGCGTTTCGTATAATAAAAATTTGAAAAAAAGAAAATATTAAATAAAATATGTAAAAACTTTTTTAATTTTAAAACTTAAAATTAAACTTTAGGTTTTATATTTTTTGTTTAAATAAATTTGCAAAGTGAAAATATTTTAACTATTCATATACATTTTGATTAATGGTGTTAATTTTTTTCCCCCTTTTATTTTTTTTTTAAACATAATTAACGTTTGTTTTAAAATTTTAATAGAAATTTTTTGTAATATTCAAGAATTTAATACATTTTTAAAAATATATTTTTTTTATGTAACTATTTATTATTTTTGCTAAAAGTTAAATTTTTTTTAATGTATTATAAAACTCCATACTAACTTAAATGTGTAACACAAAAATTTTAATTTTTTATTTATTAATATTTTCTTTTAATTCGGTATCGAAAGAGTATTCTTAAAACGATTGTTAATAACTTAAAAAGATAATAATTTTTATTAACATCTTTTCGTAATTTTGTTTTTCTTTTAAATTTAAATGATATTAATATGATTTAATAAAATGAAAAACAAAATAAAACTTTAATTGTTTAAATGGAAATATTACTCTTTTTCCTTAGAGTAAGTTAAATAGCTGTTTCTATTAATTGTGTAAAATTTTGCAAAACAATGAATAATTAAAAAAAATATATTATTTCAGTAATTTTAATTATAAAATTTCATTACATATATACATTTTTTATTTGTAAGTAAAAAAATATTATTTTCTCATCTTATAGTTAGCTTTAGATTCAAATTAAATAAAATCTATGTAAATGTTTTTTATATGATTTAATTTTAAATACATGTTTTTCCTTTTGAATTCCTTAATTATTTAATACCATAATTGTTTCCTCATGTGATTTTATAAGAAATGTTTCATATAATTTTACATAAATGTAAAAAATGTATATTTTTTTTTGGGAAATATAATGTTAATTTTAATATGTGAAATAATAAATTTATATATACATATATGCGTATTAAATATAATTCTCTAAGGAAATTAAATTCATTAAAAATAAATATATTGTAACAGTAAAACAACAGAAAGAATAAAATATAGAAAGAAAAATAATTTCTCTCTTAATTCAAAATAAAAAAAAGTTTACAAAAATTTTAAAATTAATTATGATGTTGCTATTTATTTGTTAAAAAAAAATTATGAAAAATATATTTTGTGTGTGAAAAATAAACAGGATTCGAAAGTTAAATTAATCTACCTTTTATCTCTCTATTAATTTTTTTCTTAACATTTAGGAGTTTTTAATTTATTGGAAAAATCAATTACGTAAAAAACACTTATTTTAATTATTAGAAATATTATTTCTAATTTTAAACATAGATACATGTGGATTAATTTATATTTATTGAATCCGTATACATAAAATATTGCAAAAAAAAAAAAAAATATTTATTTACATTTTATATATTTTTTATGGCATGTGCATAATATATTTTATTATTTTTTTTTTTTTTTTATAGTGCGTTTCCATGCATGTAAACTATGACATTTATAGTGCAAAATTCATAATTTTTAAAGCTATTTATTTTTTTTTTTTTTGATTCATAATTTTAAAATCTCACGATAAAATAATTTTTATATTAAAAAATGTAAGTTTTAAAGAGCATATAAATAAAAAATATATATTAGAAAAAAAAAAAAAAAAAAAATATATATATATATATATATAAAGTATAAATATAAATATATATATGTAAATATATAGTTGTTTATATTTTATATTGAAATAGAAATATCATATGAAACTATTTTTTATTTTTGTGAGTTATTGTTGATTCATTTAAGGAAAAAAAAAATATTAAAATGGAAGAATTAAAAATTTAAAAAATTTGTGTTTGTTTTGACCTTTTTATATTTATGAATATTTTTACATTTTTAAAATATGAAAAATATAATCACATTTTTTTAATTTCAATCACTGAATACAGCACTTCAAATTCATATAACCCTTTATATATATGCTAAAATTCTAATTTTTTTTTTTTTTTTTCTTAAAATCTGTATATATTTATATAACTCAATATTGTTTAGAAAATACCATTGAAAAAAATCATTTAGAGTTTTATATATAAGGCTGTTGTATTGAATAAAAAAAAATTTTTAAATATAACAATTTTCAAGAAAACTGTAATAATATATTTTATATTTGAAAAGCAATATCAGATATATTAAATGAAATAGTAGAAATTTATTGATGGAATATGCCTTTATTTTTAACATACTAATCACTTTATATTATCATATATATTTAAAAAAAAAAAAAAAATAAAAAAAAAGATGACTAATCTTCTTTGGTTTATAAGATACGAAAATACATAATATGAAAATTGTTGAAGATTACAAATATAGCCACAACATAACTTCTAATAAATTTATCTTTTTTTTTTTCTTTTTTTTTTTTTTTTTTATTCCCCCCCCCCGAAATATTTTCTTTTACGTTATTTATTTATTTATTTTATTTTTTTTTTTATTACAATAAATATCAGTCAAAATAAAGTCCCAAAATAATTTGCTTTTATTAGCAAATAAATTATTTAGAACATAATATTTTTTGTTTGTGCAACATAAAAAATATTTATAATAAGTTAATCTTTCCTGGTTTTTAATGAATAAAAAAATACAATCTTTTTTTTATTATAAATTTTTTCTTTCTGATAGTGTTAAAAAAAAAGAGACAAGAAACTCATTTTTTCCCTATTTTTAAATTACTTATATTTTTATATATAAACCTTCGAATAAATGACTGACATACAAATACAAAATCAAACTAGTAATTTGAATGCTAGTAAAAAAGAATTTGAGAATAGATATGATGATAAAGCATTAAGAAATTTATGTGTAAAAAATATACCAAAAGAGACAAAAGAAAATGAATTATTGGATTTATTTAAACAATTTGGTTCTATAGAAAGTATAAAGCTTAAAGTAAATAAAAATGTAGGACCTTATGCTATTTATGCCTACGTTCTTTTTAGCACTCCTGAGGAGGCTAAAAGATGTCTAAAGCAAATGAATGGAAAAATTTTAAGTAATGTTTATTATTTAATTTACATATGTATATATGTTACTTCTTAAAAATTAGAATATTTAATGTTTTCTCTTCATTTTGTTTTGTTTTTCTTTATATCATTTTTTTTTTTCATATCTATAATATTAGAAGTACATGTATTGTTTTATTCATATATTTTAATTTTTAAGAACTACTTATTTATTTTTTCTTTTTCATTATATTCATATGGTTTATTAGGTATATATATTTTTATTACTTTATTGTGTTTATATTTATTTCTTTATTATTATTTTATTTTTTACATATTTATATAGAGGGGAGAGCTTTAAGAATAGATTTTAAAAGATATAATAATAAAAACAATGATGATGAATGTAATATTTTTAATAATTACAACAATAATAATAATAATGGAAACAATAATAATAATAAATACCATCGAAAGGTAAATCGAAATAACCAGTTTCACATTAACAGATATCCGAATAATAACAAAAGGATTGGAAGAAATGTAAACATATACATATACAAATATATAAAGTTCGTTTTCATTATATATATTTTTTTTTCATTTTATTTTACATTCAGGATGGTTCATTAAATGATGATAATAACAATACAAATGATTCAGAGACAAATTTTCGAGATTATGAGGTATGTATCGTATTTATAGTTCTATTTTACCATTTTTTTTAAATTATTTATAAAAATTTTATAATATTTTTATATATATTATTATTACTTGTGTTTAACATTATTTTAGATTTTTTTTTTTTTCTTTATATTTTATATGATATATAAATATTTGTTAAAAATTTCACATAAGAAAAAAAGGATTAACTATCATATAATACACTATAAAGTTTTATATTTTTACTTAATTTTTTTTTTTTCTTATTTTTTTTACTACAGCAAATGAATAAAAGACCTCGCATTGGTATCATGAATGATAATACTAATAATGGAAATAGAAATATGAACAGCAATATTAATTATAATAATATTAGCAATATAAATAGTAACTTAGATTTTAACAAATTATTAAAAGATTACGGAGAAAAAAAGTTACTGAACAATTTTAATAATGAAGATAAAAATAATGAGATTGAGAATATTATACAAAATTTAATTACAGATATGATAAATAAATCATCCAGAATAAAACTATATTTGTGTGATCATTTGAGGCAATGTGCTCAGCATGTTTTTAATAGGCCAATTGCAAATCAGCATTTAATTAATAACGGTGTTAATAACAGTGGCATAGATATTAAGACGAATGCATTTAATTTAAATAATTCTTTATATAATCAACAAGATAAGCAAAATATATCTTATTTAAATAGTGCAAATTTAAATGAAGGAAATATTTTTAATATGAATGATAATATAAATAACATTGAAACAACAATACATGCTAATTCGAATATTCCAAATAATAATATTATTTTAAATAACGATGTATCTAATAATATAAAAAATTTTATATGGAAAGGAAGTTTAGAAATGAGAAATAAAGAAAATTTAAAAATAATTGGTCATGCATTACAAGGAAATGTCAGTGATTTTTTAAACAATAAAATTACAAATATAGTTATAAGTCATAGAAAAAGAATGAAAAGCATACCTAAAATTGAAGCTGCATATTATTTTGAAATAGAAAATGAACAAGATGAAAATATATTCAATTCTTATAAAAATTATTTTAATAGCAAAGATAGAGTTGGCTTAGCGTCAACAAATGAAGATTGGCATATATATATTATTTTTCCAGGTAGTCCTATTTTTAATGAATTTTTTAATAATAATTTAAATAATATTTTTATAGGAGTTGTATGCTATAACCCACAATATATAGATAAAAAAATTGCACCATCATTAATGATGCAAAACTTAGAAAATATGGATAATTTAAATCAAAATAATTTGGGAAATTTAAATAAGAGTAATATGCATAATAATATTACTAATTCTAATTTAAAATTAAATAACAATATGAATAATTCAAATATTATTGAGAATAATATGATAAATATATACAATGATATGTTAAAAGGAAAAGAAAACAACCTTAATACATCTAATTATCATTTTCATAATAACCCAATCAATCTAAATAATAACGCAGGTAACGAAGATAATATAAATAGCCATAATATTTCAAAAAGTCAAAATAATAATAAAGACGATTATTCAAGTGAAACACATATTTTAAATCAAAAAGTTCTTCAGAAAAACAATTCTAATTCTCAAGGTAATGATATGTCTTTTATAAATAATTCTCTCATTAATACGAATGAAGTAAATAATAAAGAAGAAAATAAAAATGATATACCCAATTGGCTTAATCAATTTAGTTCGTTAGCTGCATACCTTGTTAAAAAGTAGTGTTTATTTTTTTTTTTTTTTTTTTGAAATATCAGTAAAAAATGGAATTTAAAAAAAAAAAAATTAGAGAAAATTTGAATTTAAAACTAAGAAATTTAAGAAAAATAAAAAAAAAAAAAATACTTCTGAATATCATAATGGAGAAAAGATAAGCATAGAAAAAAGATTAAATGAAAAATCCTTATTAAAATTATCCGTTAAGATATATATATATATATATATTTATATATATGTGTACCAATTGTTTTTAAAATTTTAATTTAAATTTTTTTTTTTTTATAAAATTTACAGTCGTTTATAAAAAAATATATTATTTTTTTAAATAACTTTAAAAAAAATTAAAATGTTTTCTTTTTTTTTTTTTTTTTTCATTTATATTTTATTAAAACAAAAAAAAAAAAAAACACATAGATTTATTTATTTTTTTAATATTTATGAAAAAAATGTAATATAATTTATCAGGACAATATAAAATAACAAAATATTATACCAAAATTGAAAATTTTATTTTATAAATTAAAAAATATAAGCGTTATTATTTAAAAAGATTTAACTTATGTGGATTAAAAAAAAAGAAAAATTTTTAAATATTTATATATATACTTATTTTGAATATTTTAGAAAATACATTTCAATCTAAAGTGTAAGCCTTAAAGCTGTATCTATTACTCTGTTTTTCTTTTTTTTCTTTAAAATAATTTTTCTATTTTTATTAAATTTTTTTTGAACAAAAAAATTTTCACATATGTTTCATCTCAGTTTAATAATTAAAAAAATCATTTTTTTTAAATTTTTATATTTGGACAAAAATTTATGCATATATGTATACATATATATGTATATATACATATACAAAAAAAAATTTAAAAAAAAAAGAAAAAAAAAAAGAAAAAAAAAAGTTTTTTTAATTTATATTATTTACTAGTTAAAGATGGAAAAGCTCTTGTGTCATTTATATTAGGAGGATCTCTTTTTTTAAAAATTTTTTCATCAATTGGCATTTTTGTTTTTTCATTTTTATTGGGCCAATTATTTTCGTCTCCTTTTCTAAAATTTCTAAAACTTCTACGAAACCCTGGAATTCTATCGACCCTTCCCCCTTCTTCTAAAATATATTGATAAACGTTGATTGCTTTCCTTTTTGGATGATCTGTTTTATTTTCCTCATCTATATCATTTCGTTTTGTGTTATTACTTATTTTATTACTTTTTTCATTGTTCATTTCATTTTTTTTTTTTTTTTTATCAGTACTTTCAACTGTTTTATTAGAATTTAACTTTTTTTCTTGCTGCCTTCTATATAGATCATAATCAATAGTAACTGACTCGTGTTTTCTAGTAGCCTTTATATTTTCATCGCAATTCTTATTTTTTAAATCTAATATATTTTCTCTTTTTATATTATCATACTTACAACTATTTTCATTATATTCATTATGCATCTTCTAAAAAAAAAAAAAAATATATGTATTTTTAAATTATGATTATTATTATATACATAAAAATAATCTAAAAAATTAAAAAAAATCAATTATATATATTACGCATTATACTAATTACTATTAAAAATTTTCAAAAATAGTAATAATTATAAATATACAAAGTGAAATAAACAGAAAACACTAATATACATATATTGTATAAAATATAAAAATAATTATATTCATTATATTTGTAAATGTAAGAAAAATGAGGTATTTCTTGAAATAGTAAAAAGTATAAACTAATAAATATTATAATATATTTTTCCTTTTTTAATTACTTCTCTAAAATCAAATTTATTATAATTATATGCGTTATTATAATTCCTTCTATCAATATTCATTTTATAATCATAATTTCGAGATCCTCTATAAAAATTATTATTTCCAATAGCACTTGTTGGTACATTACTATAACCTCCACCTCTCTTTCGTGCAAATTTATTTCTTATGTTACCTCTTGAATGAAAATTATCACGATAATTTCTATAACTGTTTTCATTTACTTCATTTAATGTAGGAATTGTGAATTTATATCTATCATTATGTTGATTTGTTGGCTTCTTAGCATTATATTCTTTATTAACTGGAGAGTTACTTTTTAATTCATTTGACTTTTTAATTTCTAACAAAAAAGAAAGAAAGAAAAAAAAAATATATATATATATATATTAAGTTTTTGTATTTTATAAATTATAGGTATCTTATTTAAATAATTTGATGCGATATTTTTAGTAAAAATTTTGTATTTCATGCAGTTTTGTTATAATAAACTTCTTAATTTTGCATAGGCATGATAAATATTTTTAATAGTAACAGAAAGATATTAATAAAAAAATTTTTACATAGGACAAAAAAGAGAAAAAAAGAAAAAAAAAAAAAAAAATGAAAAATAGGAAAAATTGTGAGAGATGTAAAAATTTAAAAATAAAAAATAAAATTATATAACAAAGTTATAAATTATCTTATTTTACCGTTGCTATTATCAATGATCTTTTCATACATATCATTATTTTCATTTTTTGTTGATTCTTTTAAATTTTTGTTTTCAGTCTCTTCTTCTGAATTATCACTATCAAAAACAGAGTACTTGTTCGTAGTATGAACGTTATATCGAATTTTTGTCGCCATATTTATCTTATGCAACTTTTATGTTATAAAAAAAATATATATATATATATATATAAAATGAAAGAAAAAGAAAACATTCAGAAAATCATTTTATTTTTTTTAATTTTTACCTTATTTTTTTTTTATCTTTTCTGCTTTTATTTTTCTATTTACTGGTTCAAATAAAAAAAGAAAAATATATATTTTTATCAACAGTTAAAATACAATATAAAAAAAATTTTAAATAATAAAATGAAATATGTTTATAATTAATTTTTAATTTTTTTAATTTACTACATTAATTTATACATTTTTATAATTATGTTTTTTTTTTTTTTTTTTTTTTTTTTTTTTTTTTTTTTTTTTTTTTTTTTTTTTTTTTTTTTTTTTTTGAACATTTCCCACGCACTTAATTATTTCTTATAAAAAATAAACTTCGTTTTTTAATACCCTACAACCCTTATATCTACTTTATATCATTAAAAAAAAAAAAAAAACATGTATTTTACATTAAATTTTAAAAGAATACATCTTAATTATAAAATTAATTAAATATTAAAAATAGTTTTAACATGAAAAAAATCATTTTATTATTCAGATGTGTGCAAAGGAAGTACTATATTTTTAGTTTTTTTTTTTTTTTTTTAAGTTTTTTTATTCTTTTTTAGGTTAAATAAACCAATTTTTAATTACATGAGTGCTCTTTATTTAAATTCTGTTTTATAGAATACTATTACATTATGTATATGTATTGTTAAAAATAAAAAATAATTTTTTTAAGAGAATTTTTTTTTAAAACATATATAGAATAAGAACAAAAGAGATGCATATGTAATTTAAATTTATATATTTTTTTTTATCATATATTTTCATTAATTCATCTATTATATGTTTTTTTTTTTTTATTTATTATATTTTCCATAAGTATGCTCTTTTTTATTAAATTATTCAAGATTAAGAAAATCGTAATTATAAATCACTTTTTATGTAAATTTTATGTAAACAATAAATTGTAAAATAATATAAAAGGAACCAAAGAATATGACTCAAAATTAACAAGCGCAAAACATTTGAAACATAATCCTCAATGCTAAAACTAATCAAATCTATAAAGGAAAAAATAATTTCAATAGATAAAAATTAACTTTATGTATTTTTATTATTATAATAAAAAAAAATAAAATAAAAATATAAAACAAATAAGCATATATTAAAGAATTGCTTAATGTATAATGATAAATGAAATATAATTATATAGATATAAGGAGAAAATTTTATGATAATAATCTTAATGAATAATTATTTATACAATAAAAAGTTCTATTCCTTAAAATGATATACAAATAATAGCTTAAATTATTATATTACTTATTTTGTTTTATTTTATTTTTTGAAATAACATAAATTTATGTAATTCTTTTTTTTTTTTTTATAAATTTTATATTTATTTTTTTCACTTACATAAGGCCAAAAATAACAAATATGGGGATGATTCTTTTATGCTAATAATTATATTATTTCGTTTATTTTTCACGTCATTGAAAAATAAAGTCGAATATAAATAGTGAGATATTGATATTACAGTAGTAATTTTTAGAAAAATGAATGTCAGTGTGTCAGTGTTTATAGGAAAAAAATAAATGAAATATATTAAACTTAAGTTATTGCAGATCCAAAATTGAAAAATAATTAAAACTCCTATTAAATTAAATAAATATAATAAAATAAAAAATATACAAAAATAGGAAATTAATTCACTTTGATATTCTTTGAAAAAATTCATTGCTTGATTGTACAGTACGTATGATTCTGAGTAAAAATATACATTTTTAATATTACTATTTTTAAGAATATTTTTTATTTTTGATATATTTTTAAAATTTTTTTCATAATTGCTTGCATAATTATGAAAAATAAATCCTATTCTACTGCTATTTATATTATACTCTTTGTCCATCTGAATAAATAAAAAAACATACATATATATATAATAAAAAGAGTAACTAAATTATGTTCCCTTATTATTTGAATTTTTTATTAATCTATTATTTTATTTTTTTTTTTTTTTTTGTGTATACTTTAATATAATTATCATGAAATAAATGAGGGGTTATAGTGTGAAATTGTGGCAATAATTCGTTGATTTTATTCTGATAACGTGTTCTAATTTGAAAAAGATAACTTTCATAATAATTATCTACTTTATAATTTATCCATTGATAAATTATTTGATAGAAATTATTACAAGCTAATTCATCATTACAAAAAATATCTTTTAATTGATTTAAATATAATTTTTCATTGTAATTCTGTGATACAAAATTATTGCAATCATTCCTATGATCTTCTAACAAATAATGATCATTAAAAGGATATATATTTAAGCAGTCGTTTTTAATAATCTTAAATGCACTAACCCACGAAATAATTGGATCATTAATAAATTCTTCATCTTTCAAATTTTCGATTAATTTAATAATTTTTTCTATATTTTCTTCTTTTTCGTAATTAAAATCAGAAGACGAAGGTAAAACTAAATAACCTGGTTCTATAATATATCCTGCCTTTTTTTCAAAATTTTCCAAAAATATTTTTGCCATTGAACCTTTGCTTATATAACTATAAATAATTATTTTCGTTTTATTGTTTATAAATATATATAGGAGAAATGCTAGAAAAAATAAAAATAAAAACATAACAGGTAGTAAAAATACTTTCTTATATGGATTATATAATGATTTCTTCTTACTCTCCCCATATTTATTATTTATATAATTAATATTTTGTTGAAGTTCCATTTTGTCTTCTAGACAAATTTCATCTTGATCATTTTTTTCCTTATTTTTATCAGAGTAATCACCTATTTTTCTATCATTTTTATATAAATTACTAAAATTTCTTATCATATTGAATATATTATAAGAATGTATATTTTGAATATCATTTTTGTCTAAGTCATTTTTTAATATATCATTATCTTCATTAATGTTTATCTTTTTTGATAATTCAACTATATACTCGTTTAATTCAAAATTTATTTGAGAAAATGTTTTGTTATTTTTATAACACAAAAAGGCAAATACATTATTAAAAAAAAATGTATAGAAGAAAAATAAAGCAATTAAACTAAATAATGAATTTAAAGAAAACTTCTGAATAACTGTATAAGTACATGTTAATCCTATGGCATATATAATTATAAGGAATATTACAATTTTTCCAACAAAATATAATGATTTCGATGTTGCACTTATATAATACTTACTCATATCTATCTTTTCATTGTTATCATATTCCTGATTTTTTAATTTAAATAGAATTTTTTTCGAACATGCTACTAAACATTTGTTATAAAAAAAAAAATTAACACAACAAAACAAAAAACTTAAGAAATATAAGACAAAATAATTTAGTAAAAAAATTCTTAGAATACTTATCCGAAATATTAAATTAAAAAGAAAACTTGAAAAAAAGGAAAATAAAGATAAATGAAATACAGATATAATCAGAAAGAATTTTTCTTTATATTTCAGTTTATTTGACACTTTTCTAACATAAAGTATAATAAATAACATTGAAAAAAGTATAAATAAATAATTTGATTTTATCCCAATAATTAAAGAGGTATTTTCGTTTTCTTCCAAAATCTGATCGTTAATAACAGCAATCTTTAATCCTTTATTGTAGTTTAATGAATGGGTAAATTTAGTGCAATCAGGATTAATTATGGTAATATTTTTAAAATTTTTTTCATTTATTAACTTAACATAAAAATTTAATGCTTTATACCATTCATTTAACAGTGATTCATCAGCATGATCATCAAAATTAAAAACAAATATAAGAGATTGCAAGTTTTCATGTATATCTGATACAACATCATTTAAACTTTTTTTTTCTTTACTAAATGTATGAGGATAGTATAAGAAATGAGGTAAAAAATTAACTGCATTTGAAAAAAAAATTTTTATAGAACCTTCATTTTTCTCTATTAAATTATTAAAATAATCATTGAAATTGTTTAAAGATTCATAGTTATCATCTTGGAGTTCCGAAATGCTAAAAAGACCTAATACAAAACATTTTGTATTACTAAATGGAATATCAAAATTCTTGCATATATCTTTCCATTTTTTATTATTTTTTAATTTTATCTGCTTAAAATATTCTAATAAAAAAAAAATATCTTTTAAAATATCATAATCTAATATCTTATTGTCAAATTCTTTATCATCAATGTAAAATAATAATGTAGCTGCCTTTTCTTTCTTGTAATATTTAAAAAAGTTTTTGGTGTTTTTACCAATTTCATTACTTGATTGATTTAATATATCTCCTGTTTGCTTTATATTTAATTTAAAATAGTCTAAAATTTTTATTTGTTTAGCAAAGTTATTAAATAATTTAAAATCATTTTTTTCAAACATGCTATAATAAAAAGAAAAACCAATTAAAATAAAACATAAATAACCAATTATTATACTTAAAAAAATGTGACTTCGTCTATATAAAGAGAACATTACATATTTTTTACATAACACATACAAAAAATTTTCAGATTTTTTTTTTTTTTCAGAACTTTCAACAGACTTATAATTGCTTTCTTTTACATTTTCATATTTATCACCTTTTAACAAATAAATATTTTCTTTTGAATTTTTTTTTTCTTCTTCATCATTTAAATTATTTATATTTTCATAATTCTTCCTATTAGAATAATCATATGTACCATCATTTGTTATAAATTCATTATTCTCCTTATGCTTATTATTATAATCATACGAATAATCATCCATGTCTATATTTTATTTCTTTTAGTAAGATAAAAAATACATAAAGTAATATATGTAATATAAAAAATAAATTACTAATAATTTCAATCTTTCTAAGAAATAAATAGTAAACATAATTTGTATCTTTGTTATCATTAAGTGTATCTAATTAATAGTATTAAAAAAATTATTATAAAGCACTTAATAATAATTTTGTTTCTTCCTAAAACTAAGTATTTCTATTTATATATACATATGAAATTTAGAAATATGCACATATAAATTGCTTTATTATTTATATATATTTACATAAACTTTCGATTTAGTTATATAGCTTGTAAGTGTTATTTATTATTATCATATTTGTATATTTTTAGTATCTTTCTTTTTTTTTAAATATATGAAAGAAAAATTTTTGATATTTTTTATTTCATATTTATTTAAACAATTTTTCCTTNATTTTGATCAAATATTTTCTGTTTTTTATTTATCCCTATCTTCAAAAGTTAAAGAACTTTAAATCAAATCATACACATGTGC